GCTTTGTGAACTGCTGTGTAGGCTTTGTCTTGTCAGAAACAGAGTTACATGATGCTTGACTGTTCTCTCTAAGGCCTTAGCTGCAGCGGAAGTATAGTTTTTCTGCCGACGGTTTGACGCCCGATATCCTGATCCGCCTTTGTGTTTCGGTGTAATTATAGAATTTTTATTAGTTGGAGGATATCCTAATCCTACTGAGTCTTTGATGGAGCACCAAGAGTGGAAGTAATCTAAGTTAATTGGACCAACAAAGTGGGATGTTATCGGTCTTTCATGCCTCTCCATCCTTTAGCGTTCGTGTGACGAGAGCTCTGTTTATACTTTTGCTCCTTTCTAATGAACAGTGGCCTTTCACACTGCAACCACATTTCCTTTCATCATCATCATTATACATGTTAGCTGCAGGTGGAAAACACCTCAGCTATTGTGCCGCAATACAAAAGACAAGAAAAAACAAGAGAGCCACGCCGGTGAGTCCCCAGTAACGGATGGACATCGTTCCGGAGAGCTAACAGCTAGGTATCCTGCCGCAAAAAGAGAGTTACATTATGCCAAATGAATGCGATTGTGATTGGAGGAGGGGCTAAGTAGGAGGGGGAGGGACAAAGGAACTCACAACACAAACGCCATTGGGGCCGGCTCCTAGCCATATCAGCAAGTGTGTCCAAGCAAACGTGTTCATCGTCCTTAGAACGCCAGCCAGGTAGTCGGGATGCACCAACCGACGCCAACTTCGAAGTGAGGATTTTCATTTCTCTCGACCAAGTCATCGTTTGGCGTTCCCCTCCTCCTCTTCCAACCACACCCCCGGCGCGCAAACAATGCACGTCGCGGAAGTCGGTGTGCTAGCATGCGCAACACCTGGCCCAGTCATCGGAGCCTGGTGCGTGATATAATGGTGCTGAGCGGTTCACTCGCTCTTCCTGCACCAAATACGCGACGGCGAACATGCTCATTGCTCACGCGGTGCTCCCACCAGACATGAGCTAAGCTGCGAAGGCAGCGATGATCGAACGTGACGAGCCACTTATATCTGTCGACCTGATGGGCCAGTTTTCACAACCGTACAGGAGGGTTGAACGGAAGGCTGCGTTATAAACTCTGTCCTTCAGGGCGAGAGTGATGTCCGGTGGCACATTTCCTTGGATTGCTGTCGACCGGTTCAAGGCTGGTGTAAAATTCGAGGCTGACAACCATTGACCTGGTGGCTACAAATGAAATCGCTGACACTGGAGCTATGTGGTATCGCTCTAATTCGCCATCCGTTTTGGTCCAAGCCGTACAATACATGGTTACGGCCGGCACCAGTGATACGCTTGCTATCGTATCCCATTTAGATGTTCTGTTTAAATCATGTATGATGCTGGGGGCTGGATCGATTACATCACAAACATTGGGTCTGCAAAGGAACAGTCTCATTTATGCCATTTTGTTTTCTTTCGACACAGGACTTTAAACCTACCGTGCTCGTAAGTTGTAGGCGCCTTGATTCTGATTGTCTGTTTACTGATTTCATTGCTTCACATCTTTAACTCTTTCTCGCTGCGTTAGGGAGAACGAAGCAATGGCAAATGTTGTCGGTGTTCGTTGTTGTCACTGTTAGTGATGGCGCGTGTACTTGTAGCGGTGGTGGTGATATTGATGAAGGCACCTGCGAGATAAGGTCTTGACGGTTGGGTGGGTAGTTCGCACTCATTCGGGATGCGCTTTCACAAAGACCTTTGGTCACTACTCTGGCCACAAGTTTCTGTCACTTTCAACGTTGGCTAGTTTAGCAAGGTTGTCACACGAAATTAGTACTGACCCCTCAGTCGTCTAATATTTCGAATTGTTGTATGTGCATCATCGTTAGATAGTCCTTGCACCTACCCAAACATTTCGTAGTACTACTACGCGTACTCTTATTTGTGTTGTGAGCAAGACACTAAAGCCGATGACAAGTGGATCCGCTCCTGTTTGGCTGGCCGACGTGTCGTCTTGCTGACCCGAAACCGTGAAATGGCCAGTGACGGATCAATTAGTGTTACAGGGCTGGTACAGCCCTGCAAAACTCCCGTGTTTTACAAGCGCCAGTACACTGCGGTCCCGAACAACACGGTCGCTATGGTGAGACCCAAACCAGAGCGGAGCTCTCCCTACGGAAACTTCCGACAAGGGTCCACACAACTGCACAGATCACAACGGAGTTGTCCTCAGTGAGAACGCGGCCAACGTATCCCGCGCTCCCAGTCTCACTGTAGTATCTCCCGGTCTCTCCTCAAGTCAGCTGTCTGTCTTCTGAGCCGTGTTCATTCCCATGCCTTAGCCACCGAGCACACTAAGCAACTGTGCTGTGCCCAACGTCTCAGCAGCATCGATCCAACCCCATCTCTGCCCGGAGATAGGATCATTACATGATAACTCATGTGCCAACAAACATACGCCTTCCCTTATAGTTTACACAATTACCCCTGTTTTAATGAATTATAAATATGAAGGTGTAGAAAGCATGGTTGCCTTGGTTGAGTCAGTAACGCACTCTTACTACTAGTCTGTCATTTTTCTGCTGGTCTCGGTACAGTGGTGCCGCCTTTACGCGTTCCGTCTGCCTTACCAGTTACGAGTTCACGTCTGCCGGTTAAGTCCACTAGCCGTTCCAATACGAATCGTCCAGGCTGCTTTGCGCGTGGTAAACAACGAGCGAAGAGTTCGTCGTTCCTACTAGGACAGTCGAAACCCAACCAGGACGTTTATAACACTTGGCAAGTATTCAAACATTCCGATAACAATTGGCTCCGTCCTCAGCTTATCGTGTTGCTACCTTGAGACCCTGGAACGGCTATTGACGGCTGCACAGAACCTGTTCAGATATGCAGGATCATGCTTTGCCAAATTCTTCATCTGTGAAACCCTATACATAGTATGCTACTTTGTGATGCTAATGGATTTTTGCCCAAGGCCAAGCTTGACTTTTCGCGCCTTCGAAGGGCTACGTGATAATAAGGAATCACATTCTGGGATGCCATTTTGTGAACTCCAGTGCATCATACCCATTGCTATTCATCTACTCGTTCATACATCCGCAGGTACCTTGCCTTAATATCTGGCTCCTGTACCCTTAGGCTTCGGCAAGCCATCACGGTTAAATGTAAGTACTGGGGCGACCTTTGAAGTCTGACATCGAATAACAGCTCAGGCCCGGTATGCCTCATATATTTCAACAATAGTCTCAGACGATAGGGCATGGTGCAGACTCCTAGTGCAGCTTCCCTCCTTTTAGTTGCTCACCCCATGATCCATTTCTCTATGCAGGTAGCTTGCTTGCAATTTAAGCAGACGGTCCTGCCAAAATTTGGCCGCTGCTTATCTTCTCTCTTAGTCTCCAGTTATTTAAGGTGAAACTCGATTTACTTCTAGCTGAACAGTCAATCATTATATCTCAGGCTATTGTTATATTCCAGAGCCTGTTTCGAACTGCACGCTAGTGTTGTGTAAGTGAAGAAAGTTCACCACGCCACTGAGTGGGAGCAAGCGTGCAATGCAGGTGTTACGCGGTCAATGCGTTGCAACTTTTTCTCGTTTTGCCCTCTGATAAAGTCGACTATCCTCATGATCACATTTCATCGTTTCAATCTTGGCTAGACTGCTCGACACGACAGTTAACGACCAAACGACCTGCAAATACTTCTGAACTGGATTAGACTTCATATGTGCAGAGAAGATGGTCGCGCTTTGGTGGCTGTTTCACTTAATATCGTTGTTTAAACGAGGCATTGCTCTGGTGTCAGCTCTCGCCCTCACTTTCCCATCGGGAGAAGATAGAATCACTCACCATGTGTCATTGTCGTAATAAGGAAACGATTTGAACCAATACTGCCCAGCAGAATCACCGACTCGTTTCAAGAATCTTCAAGTTCGTCGCACGACGCAGTCTTTACTTCTTTGTTGCGCTTATCGATTCTGCACTACTATTTTTGGCAACCGACCTATCCATCCCAGAAGCTGAACGTTCTCAGGTACTGTACTCTTTAGTAAGGAATTTTCGATGTGATTAACTGAGGGTTTTTTACAACAGCTTGGAAAGCACTGGAGAGACATTTCGTCGTATCGGCACTCTTCTTTGGTGCATCGCCGCCACAGCTTTTAAGTGCTGTGTGGTACATAGTTACGGTTTGTGGTAACCGTAACTCGGATGAACCCTGACCTTTGCGATGTTCGTAATTTGAATGTCATTGGAAGATGATTCCCTGGCTATGTCGCCGTTTCCTTGTACGTCATGACGGTTCGCAACTGTCCCCCACGGATTACTGGCACATGCTGCTGGCTAGCTGCGCAAGCTGCAAGGAGTCGTGCCTTGGATCCTGATGGAGCCGAAGCGATGCGCGCTACCCACGAGTCCCGTCTAGTGCTTTTCCGGGCGTGTGAGAGGCTATCTGATTTGGAAGAAGCTGCGATTAATTCTTGCATTTATCTGTAAATAAGCTTGTATTTCTTCACTATTTGTACCGTTTTGGTAACTCCTCTTTTGGGGCTCTACTGATTTTGAAGGGGATCGGAAGGTCATGGAATCGGGATCGTTCCAACCGGAATCGTATAGAGACGAGAAAAGTTAACTCCTTCGCTGTGTCCGTGCCAACCCCTTCTAACTCGTGCACTTGCGCTATCGCGGTTAATTTTATAAAACTGACTGTTCATCTGAAATTCAATTTTTCAACAGTTACCCCCGCAAGCCACGTCCTCATAGCTCGCCTTGCAAGCTAAAAGCACAAGCCACTTGCTTGCAGATGAGTTTACCTCAGGTGGTTCTATCAGTTTGCCTTCACACGTTGCACATAAGGTTCTGATGTGGGTTCGATACTTTATGGCTTCGGTTTTAGGGTTCACTGTATACCCAACTCACCGTTTTGTATTCCGATTCAACTTTGTTGGACATAAATCTAACTGCAAGTATTTGCGTCTCATACCACTTTTTCCCACTTGCATATGGATTCCATTTTTCACACTCTGTCCCTTTCTAACAGTTTTCCGACACTTACTGGTTTTTGGAACAACCTTACACGTTCACTATGGAACTGGTGAGCTCTGTGTTGGACAGCACTTTGGCAACCAAGTTAACTAATTTTTTGGCTAAAGCTGCTGAACACATCGATTTATGCCAAGTAAGTGGATCTGTTTTACTCTGCTTATATACATTCATGTATTCATGGGTTTTCTCATATAAATGTCCAGTGAGCCATGAGCGAGACCACTCGGGACCACTACAGAAGCGACGACGGGTTCTGCAGAGAAGGTAGGCAGAACCGGCGCAGCGTTTGTAGGTACGCTGCATTCGATTTACTAACCGCGTGCTTGCATGCTAAGTCTCTTTATTTCAGGTGGTGGGTTTTCAATTTTGCATTAATGCTTTTCTTTCTCATATAAATGTCTACCTGTACTCTATTCCATTAACTTGCACACCTCGCTTAAGCCAATTGTATTCGATTTCCATAACATTTTTGTGTTCCTGGCATTTCCGTTAAGTATACTTTCTGACCCCGTGAACTGATCTAGGATTCCTTTGTAAACAACTTATTTCATATGCTTATTAACTTAAGGTTTATGTCAGCATTTTCCTTATGTATTAATAGAGTTATTTAATTTTACCTCTCTCTCTCTCTCAAGTGATTGGCTGTTGTTTGATATCCCCGGTGTGGCTGCGCTTGATGTGCATGTTGACAAGGTGCCTACCTGTCTATTATCCACTACCTCGTCCATACTGGCTCCAGGAGACAGTTGGTCGTTGCTGGAGGGGACGGGGTGCACGGTCCTTGTGGCCGTGTTAGGCTCGAAGAGTGGTTCCATGCACTTAGTGTGGAGCGGACTACGGTCCAGCCACCGCCTTGTGTGCGCTTGATTCCCCAAATACACCGTGCTTGTGTTTGCCTGTGAAGGAGTGTGGGCCGGCTCCGTTGATGAAACGTGGTTCCCATCCGCATGCCTCCCGGTGTTATTCCTTCGGGTTTACACTGGATATGGGGTGTGTGGTTGGAGCTGTGGGTGGTGCAGCGAAAGCCACCCATGGTCCCTCTGTAGGCGCAAGCGTTCTGTGGCTTGCCACAGTGACAGGCAAATCCGAAACCGGATGCTGCCAACCATTCATGGGTTTTGTATATTAGAAACACGTAGTTCCCTTTATGATTCAGAACAGGGAAACCAGAGGACATAGATCGTGAGATGACGTCGCCATTTCTTGCTTTCCTCTCAATTCCAAAACATACAAAGATAATGGCAAATGAACTCATACATAGCCAAGCGATTGCGCCACCAGAGTCATAGCTGTTTCTGGATGCACAACGGCGGTCGTTTGCAATCGATAATGATGGCAACACCATCCTCATCATTACTCACACTAACTAGAAGTGGAAAACACCTCAGCTATCATACCGCAATGCATAAGGAAAGCAAAAATATGCAACAGAGGCACGCCGACTGCATCATCGGTAACGGATGGACATCGCTCCGGATAGCTAACAGCCGACTATTGTGCCACAAAAAAGAGTTATATTATGCCTAGTAAATGAGATCGTGTTTGGAGGGGAAGCTAAGCGGGAGGGGGACGGACACAGAAACTCACACCACAAACGCCACTGAGGTCAGCTCCTTGCCATGTCAACAAGTGTATCCAGCCAAACGTGTTCAGTGTCTTTCGGACCCCAACCAGGGAGCCTAGAGGCTCCAACCGAGTCCAACTTCGAACCAAGGGCTTTTCGATAGCGATAGCCTCCAGTAGCCTAAGCGTGTGCGTCCGCCAATCGCACATTCATGCTGTGAACGACTCATCAGGATTGACTCGGGACACAGTGATGCCTTATTCGATGCCTGCTATCTCTATCTGTTAAAATCCCAATGATGTCGAGACGCGTTATGGAGTGTAGCTTTCGGGCGGGCAACACCGATTATCCACCTGCAACTTTACTAGAACTCTTCTTCGCCATAAGTCTGGTTTTACGGTCCATACTGATTTGGGTCTCTCACTACGTTCCCCCTGTTTTTACTTGTGATTGTGTTTTTTGCACCTATACAACTATCTTTTAGTTTGCCATAATCTTCCGTATATTTTTCAGATTTGTTTGTCGAGCGTGTCCGAACGCTGTTGTGTGTGTGATCGTGGCCCCATTCGTGTTTATAATCCCGAAGCCACCTTTTGCCGCACTTGTCATCGAGTTTGCCATCGGTAAGCTTACTTTGTTGCTTTGTTTACTTTCTCCATTGTCCGCTCCTCAGAAAGTTTGATATGGGATTAGTAGCACTGCACTATGCATAAAGTGGCTAATTTCCGCTATGGTTATTGTGCAGTGAGATTCCTCGTCATTCTGGCACCTGAGTACCAGTTTCAATCTGTCGAGTTGTCCTTTGCTGTCAGTGCGTATTGGCCTTTCACGAAAGCCACTTTCCAGGTACAGACTAGTGTAGGGGGTCACCAACCTAGGGCCCGTAACGCCAATTCATCCGGCCCGCTGACTGTACCCAATTTTTGCTTGGTAAATCATATGGAACACGAGACGCTGTAACACTATAATATAATAGCGTGAACCATTTATCTCATGGTTGTTATTTGTGACACCGCACTGCCGTACTATTTGTGACCCCACATCGTTGGAACATTGATGTGCGTGATCACGTATGAAATCCATTCATCCTTGAATCCTCTCGTGTTCCTGCTTACCTCACACCTTTGTACCGCAATTTTCCGTTGGTCAGCTCCATTGTAGCACGTGTCATATGTAACGCCGTAGATTATATATATATATATATATATATATATATATATATATATATATACAGCAAGCATTCTTAGTGATATTTCACCGAAAGTACCGATGAAATTCACGTGTACCCCTGGTGAGCTGTAGTTCTACCAATGTCCATTAGCCCTCTGTTTTTCCCGTGTTTCAACAGGTTTTTATTACGTTTGTAATTAAATAAATTTTTATTGTGTAGATCCCCTGTACCTTGACATTCACAAAGATTCCTAAGAAAAGAAAAGCGGACAGAGAGTGCCATGTCTTTTTCACATATTTTCTCAGCGCTTTCATACAGCCTTGTAACTATTATGCTTGATGCTTATGCAGTGCACGATAACCATTTTGTCACTTATCCGGCCCACGTAATTTATTTTTTCCGGTTATCCGTCCCGCGCCAATATTATTCTGATCATCCGGCCCGCAGTGTCAAAGTTTGGTGACCCCTGGACTACTGTCTCAATAGCTAAGACAATATCTACTTGTTAACAGAATGACTTATGAAGCTAAGAACGGCAACAGTAATCCTCTGCTTCCATCCATCATCATCAATAGCAATAGGTAAGCCACTTGAACTGATGCTTCACTGCCACCACGGTGACCTACGGAACGAGGAACAGTAAGGGGGAGAGAAGGGGGAACTGCGGTAACACCATGATGACCCAAACAAACACTCGGGGGCAAGGTGCCTACACCTTGTGTCAACAACATACCGTCACAATCAGCTGGCTATCGTGCAAAGATAAGGCGGCATCGGCGAGACAGCTTCCTTGCGGCTTTCGCTGCCCCGCGTCATAATCAGCCATTACCCAGCAGAGAACTCTGCACCAAACACACTTTAAACCGACAATCCGACTAGGAGACGGCAGCAGACTCGCCACTGATGTCGCTTGTTAGCCATGTCCTGTAAAGTCTCGAGCCAAACACAAGGCGAGTCACTTAGACTCTAGCGCGGAAGGCGAGACGGACCAACTTCATCCGGTTTGGTCGTCTGTGACTTCATTTCCCGCTGCCAAGTCAACTTCTGCCTGTCTCGAGCTTTACACCACCCTACACCTGGCAGACTAAACATGGCCCTCCTAAGTAGGCGATGACCACGCATACGTAGCACGTGTCCAAGACAACGTAGCTTATCCAGTGCTATGTCTTTCTATGGAAATAATCAAGTCAAATCAAGTCCAGAAAAGCTTTATGCACCCATATGGATGTATTATCAGCATTTTACACTATCTACCACAAATATGAGATAAACATCATCAGTAAAGATGAGAATTTACAATTTATAAACAGTATGGGTAAAGAATGCACAGATGTCAGTTAAGTAAAAACCCAAATCTTCGAGCAACGACCGCACATGTTTTGAACTAATTATATGGTTCTTCTTCCAGGTGACGAGGCCAACATTTGTTAAAACGTTTATTGAGATCTCATTTCATTTGGACAAAAGCAACAAACCGCGAGTTTTGCGCGGTGTCTCGGAGACTTTTTCAACGAAACGGTGGGGTTGAGTGACCTCAGTGACCTTGTAATTGTCCAATCAATCAATTCGTCAAAAGATTCAAATGAAATTGAGACGTTAGCAGTAGATAACGCAAAAAATGATGTTTTGAGGAAGAGCGGCAACGGCCAATTTAAAGGCCCCGCCTAGTTATCACTGCATAGTACTCGCTTACGCACACCATCGTTGCAGACACGCTGTGCCATCTGACACCGGCACTGCTTCGCAGACAACAGTGATCAAAACTTGTAGACGCATCAAGTCTTCAGATCGAAGGGGCCAAGTCTCACTTCCATAGAGCAGGACGGCCCTCACTGCAGCCTTGTGTATACGGCCATTTCGACTGAGGGAACCCCTTCCTGACGCCACTGATGTGCTAGGTTCAAGAAGGCAGTTCTAGCTTTTGCAATGCGTTAACTAGCTTCAGCTGCTATCCGCCCGTCGTTGCTAATGCAGCTGCCATGGTAGGTGAAGTAATCAACTACCTCGAGTTCCTCGCCATCAAGCGTCTAAGAGTCGTCAAGTGGCTGGTGGTCCTGTAACAGCACTTTGTAATTTGGAGATGCGAGGCGCATGCCAAATGATGGGTGCACTCTAGTGAGGTTATTCAGGGTTGATTACGTCGCCCCAACATCGTTAAAAAGTAGGACAATATCATCCGCATAAACAAGATCTACTGGCCTTTCACCAGGTAGCACTTCATCGCCTGTATCGTGCGATTCCGCCAGGGAGCACTCCATGATGGAGTCAGCAACGAAGCTGAACAAAAATGGGAAATTGGGCAACGTAGACGAACGCCACTTGTTTTCGGGAAGGCATCCGACAAAACACTGTATACCCTGACGCGACTTATCGTGTTCGAGTACGGGGCACCCAAAATGTTCACATATTTCATGTGAGCAACTTTGCGTGCAAGTATTTCGAACGTAACTCATCGGTCGACAGTCGAATGCATGCTTTAAGTCCAGGAACACAGCTACTGTCGCCCTGCGGTACGTGTGGCGCTCCTATAGCACCTGCTGCGGAGTGTATATCTGGTCTATACTACCCGTCGTGGGCTGAAGCCTGCCTGCACTTCCCTAATCCGTGATTCGCACTCCGCAGTGACGAACGAGAATTGAGGCCGGTAATTTTGTCACAATGCGTTAGGCTAATACCCCTGTGGTTAGCACAGTCGGTGCGATTGCCCCTCTTGTATATCACCACTATAATTGACTCACCCCAATTAGCAGGAATGATCTCTGCCTGTTAGACGTGTTCGAACAGGGAGGTCAGTGCTTTGTAGAGGACCTCACCACCATCCTTAAATGGTGCGATTGCAAACGAATCTTGGCCTGCAGCACGAACACTGTTGAGGGCTACGATCCCGTTTCGGACCTGAGCTTCTGACGAAGTCTGTAAACTAATTGGGCACGGCTCGGCCTGTAACAGCTAATTAGGGGGAGGTCCAGAAGCAGGGGGCCAACTGAACTGCTTTCGAAGGGGCTCTGCTTAACGAGCCATACGGCGCTCCTTATTATGAATCAGGGCACCCGCACAGCCCCTGATTGTTTTACTGACACCTGGTTTCATAGGGCTAGTGGTTTGGATCAGCTAGAAGAGCTTGCAATAATTGTGTACTGCTCCTGCTACCTCTATTTCTTGAGCCCGACTGATCCACCATGCTTACTTGTCAGCACTCGGGCTCCGCTTTAGTTCGCTCCTAATAGCCCGTCTGGCGACTTTGTGCTCCGAGCCAGCCAGGAGGTTTCTTCTGGATTCCAACAGTTTCACTGACCTCTCGGATGTCCAGTGACTGGTACGGAGACGTTTAATAGTGCTGGAGGCTCCTGCATTTTGCATGGTGGCCGAGATCCTATTCAATTGAAACGAAAGGTCGGTACGCAGTGCATACTTGCAGGCTAACCTAACCGAGGGCTAAGATACGTTCTTAGTTGCCAATCGAAGGAGGCGCTTGGTACGCCTCCCTGTAAATGTATCAAAACGACAGCGTACCAAGGCATTTTCAGAGTCGACGCAAATACTCCAGAAAGAACAACAATTCACTATGGAACCACGTCATCTGTAACTTCTGGCAATATGATCTATTTGGGTTCATCCCTGGTCAGCTACAGGGGGAGGCTAAGTGACATTTCGGTGCCCACTGTGTCTAAAAACGGTACTACTAAGAAACAGCTGGTGCTCTGTACACAGCTGTAACAGACGCCCGCCGTTGTCCGTACGGTCGGAGTTAATTCCATACTTACCACGTGGCTGAGCTTCTGAAGAGCTCAGAGCACCCACTTGCGCATTCATATCCCTTGCAACAACAACGATATCTGAACTGGTGGTATTGCAACCAACGGTTACTCAATCATGGAGCTGAGAACGATGCCTACATCAGCTTGCCCAGTGATTGCCGCATCAACGTCTTCAATTGCATACAACCAATACCGAGTGGACAAGCCGACGCAGTTAATTCGACAACCCCTAGTTTCGGGCACACAGCACGCATCAATACTCAGCGGGTTTAAGGTTCGTGCGACTGCAGCCTGATGACCTTTTATCTTAGCGTGCGAGCGTTCAACGCCGCCAGGGAAACAGGACAGTGTGGCCTTATAATAAGCTGTTGGCGATTAGTGTCCAGCGGATGTTACGGGAATATAGCTGTAGATGGTATGACTCCACAGACATTGCTGTTGCTGTCAATCAAACGGAATTATAGGAGGAACGCTAGTGGTGGGGCTGGGAGGGGAATAAGCGAAACAGTTGGAAAGGAACGAAGGGAGGTGCCAGCAGTAGCATGTTTTCGCTTATCCGCCCTGCTGTATGCAGCAGATAAGGCGACCCTTACTAATCTGCGCGAGAGCCGATGCAGGGTATGGTTGACATTTGAGGAAATAGTCATGGTTGTATGTGGGCTGAGATACTGCCAGGGCGCCCAGACCTAGACAG